ACCCGCCCCCCGAGCGACGCGCCAAGCCCCGCCCCTCCGAGCGCCCCACCGCTGAACCAAAATAAATAAATAAATAAATAGAAATCCTAGCGCCGCCCCGCTCCAAGGTGCCGCCCCAAGCACATGCTTGGTTGGCTGGTGCCTGGAGCCGGCCCTGTGTTGTGCACTGCAAATGGCTTCTTTTGTGCAGTGCACTGCAAATGGCTTAGGTGTAAAGAGCTGCACAAAGTAACTCCTATTTGTGCCTTTGAAAATTTCCTCCCAAAATTCTGAGATTCTTTGTGTGAATTATTACAAACAGATAATAACCAGAAAACATGGGATTCGTATATAAAAAGTTTAGTACTAAACGAGGATAATTGTTTTTTTTAAAGACGCACAATACAATGGAGAGTGACCGAGCGTGGTGGTCTTTAAATGTCATTAATGTTGCTCAAATAGAACCTCTTGTCAAAGAACATGTTTTAACAAGAACTAAAACGTTTTTTCCACTGTGTAAGGAGCCATAGGAAGGGTAGACACATTATTAGCAAATGATTGCTTTAATGTTTAATCCAAAAGTCATTTAAGCTCAAACTGCTGTGGGATAATTATTGGTCTGAATAGTACGTTCCTCCTCACAACACTGAATGATAGTGGTGGAACTGAAAAAGAAATACAAGAAAGGAAGAACTGGCTAACAGTTTTCTCAGATTTTCTACCCTCTGATCAGTCTTTTTTTAAAAAAAAAAAAGATACAATCACAATCAACCACAATCATTTTTTACATTTATCAAATTACATGTAGCTTTTTGGGATAGAAATTATTTTCCTATCATTGCTGATTTAAGGCCCACTGAGGTCTGAATAATAAATCGCTACACATAACACTGAACATCCGTGGTGTATAGAGCTCTGGATCAGTCCTTAAATCAGTCAGTGGGCCAGATTACTTGAGATACTATAGTGGATGGATCTCTAACTCAGCGTGTGTTCTTTTATTGCTCCTTGTTAGTTTTAGAAACTTGTTTTCAGGAAGAGAGAAGGTTAGGGTGTAGCTGATCCTTTCGTCTTTCATAAAGTGCCCCCAAACCAACAGGAATTGATTGATCCATTAATCATTTTAGTGTTTTTTGACCGAGATCTATTGAGATGCCTCAGAGAGAGCCACCCAAGCACTCTTGGGCAAGGAAGTGAAACTGACAGCCTGGTTGCGGACTTCACAATGGATGAGGAAGGGTGGCATCACTTTCTAGTGACATTACTGCTGTCATGCTCCCTAACAGCAATCGGAGCGGTTGCAGGGCACTTGTGAAGCTAGCAACAGGCAGAGATTGGACTTGAGAAAAGCTGGAATGGTGGTTTCTGGCAGAAGTTCAACAAGTCAACATACATGTTTACATACCCATCTGAATACATGCTGTACAGCCCTATTTCATATCTCCAGCAAACTTGACAAGAGAGATATTGCTAAATAATTAAATGAAGTCTTTGTCTTGGTGATTGCAAAGGAAGACGGCTGTGAGACCAGATGCCAACATTAAATATAAATTTCCTAGGAGGAAAAGAATACTGAAGGAAAAAAAGATCATGCCAGAAGAAGCGATCAAGACACTAAACAATAGGAAAAATGGCAAAAATCATGTGCTGTATCCAGTAGAAAACCATTCTGGAAAAAGAGGATCTATGCTCTCATGGATTACAGGATATGACCAAGATGTTTAAAAGTGACTAGTTACTTTTGAAAATGTTCTCTAGATTCAATATTAATAGTGGCGAAGTGTTAGAAAATGGGAGACTGGTAAACTTGAGAGAGAGAGAGAGAGAGAGAGAGTGTGTGTGTGTGTGATGTATATATTAATTCAGGATAAACGACAGAACTCCCAAAACGACTCTATTAAGAATAGTCACTATTAATTCACAGGAAAGACCACCAACTAGTGATGTGCTGGAGTGGGGTTGTGTGAGCCCCTTGTTAAAATTCAACCACCAGATTGAAGGAAGGGTTATGGCAATTTCCTGCTTCTGATTTGAGGGAATAGGCCTGGCCAGCCTCCCTTATATTGCTTGAGATGCCGGTGAAAGCTCACAATGCAGGCCTTTGCAGGCCACAGGCCTGAACTAAACTGAGCAACACAGTCTTCTGCCAAGTTCGATCAGGGGTTATGGTCAGAGGAGGGAGGGAGGGAGAAGAAATGTGGAGACCCCTAGCAAAATAACAGTTTGTGTGTTATTGGCAGCGGAAATATGATAACCGCTTGTAGATGAAATATAATAACTGCTTGTGTGAAGAAATTAGTTCTAGCTAAATGTTAACTTCTCCTGTAATTTCAGCTAAATGCAAAACTAGCCAATTAGATGCCTGCTTTGGGCATCCTGTCAACCCCTCCCCGGTACACTGACCATAATGCCCCAGAAGCTATCATGCACTCTTCCGAGAATGTACCCTATCTGGTGCCAAGTTTTGACCGCATCAGGCTTCTCGAGAAGGCCCCCACCTTGATAATGAGGAAGATACTGAGAAAGGGAACAGACCCCAATTCTTTTATTTTCGTAAATGACGTATAATTTGTACTATGGTTGTGGTTTGTAAGAATAAAAGCAGCCTGCGAGCTGTGATCGGGGGTGTAGTTTCTGACTGCAACCCCCAACGCGTTGGTATGTATTGCAATAAACTGGCCTCAGGCTTGAGTCTGTGAACTAAAATCAATGCGTGGGTGAATTTTTCCACGACATGATGGAGTTCATGTTTTGCTTTAGGATATTGCTAGATCAGTAGACAGACATGACTTATCTCTGGGGCTCATCTAAAAGACTATTGAAAAACAAATTTTTTTTACACATACTTTAGAAAGCACAAGATTGGGTAAAGTGTCAGATAGTTGCAAACCGTTCTCCCAGGGAGAATATTGGCTGACACCTCCCTTCCTCTAGGCGCTGTAAGCAAGCTCTACACTGTTTTCCCATCAATAACTCCATGTATATTTTCAGGAAGACAGTCCATATTTTTAATATAGTCCAGCTACACAGAATCAGCATTATCCCTCTTGTTCTTTCTCCAGAGACTTGTAATCACAAAAGATGATTTTTTTAAAATCAGTGAATGGACATAAGCAGGGATTTGATATTTCTAGGCCTTTTTAAAATAACCTCTGCCCCCATTTTTAAATCAAAGATTGTAATCTTATGTTGGTAAAGTGGTAAATTTTGTCACCTTAGAAGTGTGGCTTTGGAGACAGTCTATAAGGGTTTGTGACTCAGAGGAAAGCTGGCAGCTGAGAAAGACTGAAAGTCACTCAAAACATTTCTCTTTTGCAACTTCAAATTAGAGTGAGCTTCTTCTTTACACATCAATAAATGGTCTGTGTGACATTTTGCAATTTTGCTGGGTATCCTACTGTATTTTGATCTTTTGTTGACAGCTGGACAGTTTATGTCTGTTCCATAAAAGGCTGCATGAGAAGCTGTCTGAGTAGGTGTCAAATTATTGAAATGCATAAGTGGAGTTCCCACGCTATCCTGAATAGAATTGACACCCACTTGGCCAGATCATACCCCCTGTTTAAAGCAAATGCAAAGAGTTGCACAAAGGAAGCCATTTGCTGGGCGCAACAAGTTTTATTGGTCCTAGAAAACTCAGGAGCTCACCTACATACTTTTAAGTAACATCTACTGCCATTTTATCTATTAACTTGTATATATATATATATATATATATATATATATATATACACACACACACAACACAGAGCACTCTCATACCAGCTCCACAGTCTGTGAGAGGAAACACAAATACCTGAACCGTTGAAAAAGAAGTATGGTGAAAATCCTACAGATTTCTTTTCTGTAGTCTCTCCGGAATTGACCATTAGGACCTGGGCATCTCTTACTCCTCCAACCTCTGGGGCTTCTCACCACACTCAGTCTATCCAAAAGCAGTTATCAAGATGGAGGGTGATCAGGGCTTGGAACTAGTCCTAGAGGTAGATTTTGGAAATTCTGTGAAGGAAAATTCAGTAGGATCCGGATCACATCTATTCAGTAATGTCATCTACTTTGCCATCCATTCCTAACATCTCCATTGCCCCTAGAAATTCCTCCCTAAGGTTCTTGTTCCCTTCAACATCAAATTGGAACTCCTTGCCCTCATGGGCTCTCAGCGATTGGGCTTCAGCCTGACCCCAAACATCTACACTGAAATTTTATAGCTCTGCAGCCCAAGATCTATGAGCCTGAGTCAGCTATCCTTGGCTAGCCTTAGGTCGTTTGTTGGGGTGTAGACGCACCCCAAGGGGCCATTAGGTGGAATGATGGGGGATTTTCATGGGGAATAAATAATACTGTACATTTACAGGCTCAACTACCCAGGGAAATTGACCATGTGCTGAAATAATTTTCATTGATCCCACCAATACAGCTGGAGAGGGCCCAGCTCTACCCTAAATGGTGTAAGAAATACTCTTTTCAAAAACCTATTTGAATAAAACACAACTCCCTCTCCCACGGTTGGATCAGTTAAGTGAGTCCAATCCTTAATGCATCTCTGAAAATGGTTTCAAAGCCTGCTGAGTTTCCCAATGTACATTGGCCTGGAGTCTTTTCCCCCCCCGATGAGTTTCTTGGAGAAGGAATGGTGGCAAAATGAGTTACATGGGAGATGGCTAAAGTTAGCTTAAATAAGGTGTTTTATACACAGCACTACCTACTGAACTGTATAATACAGTTTAACATTCCATTACAATAAGTATCTCCTCAATCTCCTCTTTATTGAAAAGTGATGCAAATTATTCATTTAGCTCTGCAACAAGGGTCTCATATTCCTTAATTGCTCCCTTCCTCTCTTGTGGTTCAGTGGACCACAGAGTACCTTGCAGACTTCCTGCTTCAGATATGTGTTAAGTACTTCTTGTTATTATGTTATACTGTTAGCTTTTTGCCTTTCAATTCCTCTTAGCTTTAGGCGTAATTTCCTTCGTACATATCACTTGCTGTAGTTTATGCTACATTTTATTGGCTTTACTAGGGTTGTATTTCCTTTTCTCAAGAATATCTGTTTGGATCAAAATACCTCTCCATTCAGCCATTCTGATTTATCCTTGCCTCTCTACTTCCCTATTGTTTAGAGCGATGCATGCATGGAATGTACACAAACTTGGTACTCTACCACATGGAAATTAATTTTGAACACCTGTTTTATAACCTGCGCACACATATGAGGCAGACGGGAAAACTCAGCTACACCTGCCTATGAGGATCAGTTTTGAGGACTTCTGGAAGTTAGTTAGGTGCTCACATGTGGATTTAGGGTAAAATTTTCAAAAGCCTTTAAGTCACTTGGAAGCCAAAGTCTCACAGGCTCCTCAGTAGCCTGTGCATTTTGAAAACGTCGCATTTTGAAAACGTCTCATTGTGAAGCGACAGGGGAGGGTTAGGTTTGACAATTTCCTGTCTACTTACCGGGATTCCCTACTGTAAAATGTAAAATGTTCCTTACTGGGAATCCTGGTAGGTAGACAGGAAATTGTCAAACCTAACCCTCCCCTGTCGCTTCACAATGAGATTCAGCCATGGGAAAACTAGTTTTGTTGAAGATCCAGCAAACCATGCGAACAGGAGCAAAGAAAAAAAAATGGAGCACCCTTTCTTACCAAAATTGAAAAGGTTCACAAAGCTCCTCTCTTCACCAACTGAAATTCAGTTCCCAGCAAACTCAGGTATTGTTTCAGAATAGCAGCCGTGTTAGTCTGTATCCGCAAAAAGAAGAACAGGAGG